AAAACATTCATCACATAATACACAATGCATACCGGAATGTTTGGATTAGCCACATCGAGAGAAAACCAAAAAGCAAGTCACGCACACACATCAACTCAATTGCTCCTCCCCATGGACCAATCAAGAGCACCTCCAATTGAAACAGTTCCTCTCACAGTTTTTGTTTAATATGTGCCTGTTAATTGACTTGAAAAAGGCCTTCCAAAAAGGTCGAAACATCGTCAACCGAAAATTGTTTTTTTTTATTTCTCTCGTTGTGGCTAATCCAAACATTCCCATAGGGATCTATTAATCTATCAGCACAACGCAAACTTTCTTCAAAGACATCCACTCTGAATTTGGAGCTGATAAGTTGAAAACATAATACATTTCACGTGTTGAATACTCTATGTTAATACACGTCTCCGAAAGACTCAGTATGGTCGGGGGTGAGTGTTTTACCTTATGGCGCATCACCCGTGTTTTGCACCTAGCGAAATGCTCCCATACAATTAAGCTTCTCAGACATCCTCTGCTGAGAAAGCCCTACTCACTACCTTCTCGTCGCGGAGGTGTTTTCCCACCAAAGTGACAGGACGAAGAGCCAACAGTCGGGGCTTTAACCGGGTTGGTGGACCATTGCCCGTTCATCTAGGGAAGTTGGCTGAAAACCCTGATTCCAAACTAACCAAGAACAGGCACAAGAACCTCACGCACCCACACCTTCCTGGTCGTGTTGGTGATCACGGGGTCCATTGGACATTGGGTGTATTGGGCACCTTTGACGTTTGACCCCATCCAAAGGGCGTATGATCCGATGAACTGGACATCGATACCTAAATGGACTGTGGTTTTCGCACTCCGTCACGCTTACCTTGTGGGTCAGGCTTTGGTTAATTGAAAGTTCGGTTATGAATACCCAAAGAAATAGGACAGTATCTCGTCCATGAGCAAACCGTGATCTGATGTTCTTTCTACACATTTTCCCATCAAGCTTTAGCCAGGACGTGCAATCACTCAGCCTCGGTGCAGTATGCTAGGTGGCATATTTCTCGCCGAAAACATTGTCTGTCTTTTTGAATGCGTGTAAATTCCCAAAGTATGCATGACGGACCGACGAGGTCTGTTATATGCTTTGCTCGGGCTGCTGCTGCTGTTGGTAGTGGTGGTGGTGGTGTTGAGGTATTTATCAAACTCGGACGACATCCTGACTTTCCACAGATTTGTTCCTCTCAACGCAACACGTCTGTGATAATATCCACGAATGTTTCTTCATCCATTGATCAAATGACATTGAAGCGTACGATTTTTCGACTTCCATAACGGTTGCTAGTGCAGCAGTTGTAAGAGAACAAAACCTCGACAAAAAAATATTACCATAATTAAGTTACAAAAATGGGTCAGGAATGTGGGTACAGGCATTTTACTTCCATATTACAAACGATTAATTTGTGCTTCTTTATTGTTAAGCACTGAAGGCAATCGTTTTTTCCATAAAAATTAGATAACTTTAAGAGCGAAAGTGTTGCACCGAATTACGAAGCCAATCGGAAATAGACAAACACAGATTGACATACATATAATATTTTCACACATGTCTTTGTCCGGACTGTCAAAAAATCACAGTATGATAAAATTTATAAAAAAGAAAATAATTCCATGATTTGCATTTGGGCGGAATACTGCCAGGTTTCCATGACCAAAACAGGTGAATCTTCTTGAGGAATCTTTCGGTTGGCCAAAGCCTGACCCACAAGGTAAGCGTGACGGAGTGCGAAAACCACAGTCCATTTAGGTATCGATGTCCAGTTCATCGGATCATACGCCCTTTGGATGGGGTCAAACGTCAAAGGTGCCCAATACACCCAATGTCCAATGGACCCCGTGATCACCAACACGACCAGGAAGGTGTGGGTGCGTGAGGTTCTTGTGCCTGTTCTTGGTTAGTTTGGAATCAGGGTTTTCAGCCAACTTCCCTAGATGAACGGGCAATGGTCCACCAACCCGGTTAAAGCCCCGACTGTTGGCTCTTCGTCCTGTCACTTTGGTGGGAAAACACCTCCGCGACGAGAAGGTAGTGAGTAGGGCTTTCTCAGCAGAGGATGTCTGAGAAGCTTAATTGTATGGGAGCATTTCGCGAGGTGGAAGAGAAGAATGACCAGTCACAACCCGAGACACCCACCCCGACCATAATGAGGCTTTCGCAGGTCTTTGCTCTCTCTCTCTCTCCACGACGGGCTCAGATCCGAGATAGGCACTTGGTGAATAAAACTTTGTTTCGGTTCGGTGGATACGAATTTTAAAAACACATATACAGGATGACCGATATACACAAGTTTTCTGGTCGATAAGTGACTTACGACCGTGCGAGTACTTCTCATGATCACCAACAACGTGCGCCCAGCACTGCTCGTGAATGTATTCCAGGCGAAAATCGCTCAAATTGTTGGGACTATAACAAGAGATTTGACGTGAACTGTACACATATATCAACGAAAAAAATCCCAGTATGAGGACCACAACAACGCTTAGAAACCGATTCAACCAATCGGCTAAATCTTCCCAGTGCGCGCGGAGATCGTTACTTCCAGCACGGTGCCACGAGTTCCAAGGCATAGTGTGTCGGAGCTGAAATAGAAAAGTATGCTTAGAAAACAGTTATTACACCGTCAGTAGTATAGTATAGTATAGCATAGCATAGTATAGTATTGCACAGAGCATTGTCAAAGCTCTCCAGTGGCTAGTGAAAACACCTGACAATCAGAGAATCGACTTGAAAATTTAGACCCCGACAGAAGTTACAAGCTTAAAATTCTTGTAAATAACGGATATGCTTGGAGTTATTTGACAGTTTACGACCCGAATCTGAGCGTTGAGCGCAATGCCACACCTTAATTTCCGAAAACTGCGGCCTGAGCAAACATTTCAGGTTCAGTTTTCCCAACCAGCAACCACACATTTTCATGGGCTCGTTTTTGGTTGCTGTCTTTCGGCTGCCCATCTGGTTAAAAGAGCAGATTGAAGATAGGAATCTTTAGAGCAGAGTCAAAGGGAAGATAGATAATTCATATAGACTGCGGTTGCTAGCATAATGGGAAGATGCACGAGGGCAACTGTTTGCGACACCCGACCATTTCAGTTTCAGTTTGAACAACCAATAACCATGCATATTCGTGCGCCGGTTTTGGTTGCTGTCTTTTGGCTGCCCATCTGGATGAAGAATAGGAGAAGAAGAGGAAAGTTGAAAGTGGAGTCGAAAGGAAAATGGAGAAGTTCCGTGGACTAAGGTTGGGAAGAAATTGAGGAGATGCACGTCGAAAAGAAAATGGAGAATTCAGTGGATTAAGATGAAGAAATTGAGGAGATGCACGATAGCACTGTTTACGACACTCAGTGTAGCTAACCATTGGCTACGATTATCCCGAGGTCCCCAGCCAGGGAGCCTAACAGGACCTATGTGACCCAGTCTCC